AAACTGTCGAGATCCTCTTTGAAAGACATATATAGCCTTATTTATAGGCATGAATTAGGGTTTGGATGGAGTAACCACCAAGTAACCCTAATAGACTCCTAATATTTCAAGAGTCGTCTTGAATTTAGGATTTATCTTGATTTGTTAAAATTTCAGTGTCTATAAATACCCCCAACTTCAAGGTTTGTCGAGGTATAGGCTTGCTGAAACTTGAAGACGAGACTTGAAGTACCCGACCATCACAACAGATAATCTTGAAACTTATTTTTGATTTGTAGGAGGAAGAGATGAAGGGAAGAACTGGTCCCACTGGGTGTGCCAGAATTTGTAGACAATAAATTTTGTCGAGAAAATAAAATCAAGACCGAAAAATATTGCAACAATCGTAGTATTTTATTTCAAACAATATGAGTGTTACAATCTCTATGAGTCCTCTGGTTCTTCTTTTCAACAGTAAAAAAAAGAGCTTTAGGCTTGATCTTGAATTTTATTTTATTTTAACTCAAGTGCTTGGGGTCTGATCTTGATCTTGACGTATTTTTAATCCAAGGGCTTGCAACTTGTTCTTGAATCTTCATCTTGATCTTTTAATCCCTAGAACACTTGAATGCTTGTAGCTTTTAGAGAAATCTGCAGCATTTGATCCACGAGCTCTCTCTTGCTTTTTGTTATAACTTCTGGTGTCTTTCTGAGTTATGAAGACCCCTATTTATAGTTGTGGGAGCGAAGAATTGTGATGAGAACAAACTCTTTCCGACAATCAGATTGAAGAGTGACAAGGCCGTATTTGATTGGCCAAAACATGTCACTTGCACATGTGGCACATTCATTGGCCTTTCAATTTGACTTGGCATGCCTTGTCATTTTGACATGTGGCATGACTCTATTGGCTCTTCCGTTTAACTTGGCATGCCACGTCATTTGACACGTGACACCAAACTGGGCCTCTAGGAAGATGACATATTGGGCTAATAAAGTGGGCTCATCATTTGCAGCCCTAACTAAATGGGCTAGCCTAATCAATATTTATTGGACTTAAGTAAGTAATCCAATTATACTAGCCCATAATATTTATTTGGACCAAAATATATTTAATTGTTAAATTCAAATTTCTTATGAATTTAATAAAATTTTAATTGCATAAAGAGAGGGTGGGTGCAGGGAAGAATCTTTTGCTTTTTGCTTTTTTACTTTTTTACTTATTTTATCTTTATATTTTATTTTATTTTTTTAATCTTATTTTAATAATATTTTTCTTCTTATTTTAATTATTTTTTGTTCAAAATGTTCATATTCATGCTCGTTGTTCGCGTGAATTACATTCTTTTTGCAAAAAATTGCACGGGCGCTCTATGTGGTCTCCCCTATTTAACCTATACCCATATTTCAAAAAATTTTTAATTTGTACCCACTTTTGAACAACGGCAGGCCTCTTTCTCCTCCTCCTCCTCCTCCTCCTCTTATGACGCTTTATTTTTACTATTTCTTAGGGTTTCTTCTTTAAGGTAGTTTATGATGTTTTATGGGTTCATTAATTCATTGTTGTTTTGACAAATTGATGATTGGGATTTGTTCCTGTTGATATTTGGAGGCTATGTTTCAAACTTGAGCTCATTTGGAGCAGATTGAGGTATTAAATCGTATATTGATTGTTATAATTCGAAGAATAAAATTCAGTTTCTGGGCAATTTGCACTTCAGGCCTACTTGGCCTTAAGTGCATGAAAACGTTGGTTGCACTACAGACCTTTTTGCCTTAAGTGCATCTGAAGTGCAATTTTTCACTTCAGACTTATTGGCCTTAAGTGTAGCAAAACGTTTGTTGCACTTCAGACTTTTTGGCCTTAAGTGCCTCTGAAGTGCAATTTTTCACTTCAGACTTACTGGTGCTAAGTGTAGCAAAACGTATGTTGCACTTCAGACCTTTTGGCCTTAAGTGCATCTGAAATACAAATTTTCACTTCAGACTTATTGTCCTTAAGTGCATGAAACCATTGGTTAGGCCTTAAGTGCGTCTGAAGTGCAATTTTTCACTTCAGACTTATTGGCCTTAAGTGAAGGAAAACGTTTGTTGAACTTCAGACTTTTGGCCTTAAGTGCATCTGAAGTGCAATTTTTTAGGGGGAAGTGTACGGTTAGCCATTAATAAGACATGTATGTACTTTTAAGCCACTATTTAAAATGTCTTTAGTCTTTAGCCACTACTTTAATAAACTTTTACCCGCCCGGACGAAAATACCCTTCTGCTCATAAAGTTTAAGACCAAGTGTCCTTAACTTATGAGCTTGTTACTGTAAGTTCAGGACTAGCTGTCCTTAATTTATGAGTTTGTAAGTCTAAGTTTAGGATTACCTGTCCTTAACTTTTGGACTTGTAACTCTAAGTTCAGGACTACATGTCCTTAACTTTTGAACTTGAAACTCAAAGTTCAGGACTACCTGTCCTTAATTTCTGTGCTTGTAACTCTAAGTTAAGGACCAAGTGTCCTTAATTTTTGAACTTCCAACTCTAAGTTAAGGACCAAGTGTCTTAACTTATGAGCTTGTTACTATAAGTTCAGAACTAGTTGTCCTTAATTTATGAGCTTGTAAGTCTAAGTTAAGGACTACCTGTCCTTAGTTTTTGAGCTTGTAACTCTAAGTTTAGGACTACCTGTCCTTAACTTTTGAACTTGTAACTCTAAGTTCAGGAATACATGTCCTTATTTTTTGAACTTGAAACTCTTAGTTCACGACTACCTGTGAATTCGGTATAAATATTTAATACTTTCCTCTCAGATATGGTTCCAAGTTGTCACTATTGATTTCTCACATTGTATGAGTTTTCTACATTCTTTTCTTTGTTTAACGATCTCATGCTTCTTCCACCCCTCACTTCTTAGTTTTGATCTGAATTTTTTCATATTGGTTACTGTTTATATCTGGCCATCTATGGGTTCATGTGAGGCTCTCGCCACTTAGGGTTTGGGAAGGAAAATAGATAGAAGAAAGGGTAACATCGTCATTAATTTTAATAGAGTAGTGGCTACTTTTGCTCAGCATTAAAAATGCTGGATAAAAAGTAAATACCACTTTAAAAAGTGGCTATCCCACGCAATTTTTACAATTTTTTACTTCAGACTTATTGGCCTTAAGTGCATGAAACCATTGTTTCCACTTCAGACCTGTTTGGCCTTAAGTGCATATGAAGTGCAATTTTTTCACTTCAGACTAATTTTTTTTAACTTCAGACCCGACAAGTCTGAAGTTGATCGTAAAGTGGGTACGCTTGCAAACATTTTTGCAAAGTGGGTATAGGTTCATTTGTGACCCCAAAACCGGGGATAGATGAGCTCAACCATTTTGTTGCCACATGTGCTTGGTCAACGGTCAGAGGGGTTTAAAAATATAGGCTTTGACCAAGTTAAAGTGTCTGGATGAAAATAAATGCAGTAGAAGGATCGAGATATCAAACCAAAATAAGTACAAGGGTCTACTAGGCTATTCTGCGTTGAGCTATGTTACAGGTTCGGATTAAAAGTGTCCCAATGGTATTCAACAAATAGGAGTAGTTATTAGGATATCAACCTTTGCTATAGGAGGTAACTTTCAGAAACCACTATGTTTTAGTGGTTATTAGCTAGTTGTAGCTACAATTTACTATATTACTTCTTATAGCTATGTTTTCAGATTTTTTAGAGTGTATTCGATGTACTTAAGCTACTGTATTCATGAATACTGTAACATTTCTAGGCGTGAAACGGGGGATTACAGCTAGACATATTTTTGTATTCGAGTGTATTCGACTGTATTCATGGCCTGAAATATGGGATTACAGCTGGACAGATTATTGTATTCTACTGTATTCACGGCGTGAAACAGGGGATTACACTGTTTTTAAACGGAAAGTGAATCAATTAACATAATAGACTCCTAATATAACTCAACAAACTCAATTATAACACACAAATTTTGTATTTCCAGTTATAAAAAAGTTTCTCAACCGAAAAACACCCCCAAAAACATAGCAATCTTCAGAGAAATGATATAATACATCTGAATACATAAATTATATTAATTAAAAAAAATATATGAATACATTCATGGAATATAGCGAGACAGTGAATACAATGAAATACATAGAATACAGAGGGATACATTGAAATACAATGAATACAATGAAATACATAGAATACAGCGAGATACATTGAAATACAATGAATACAATGAAATACAGCCAGACTTGCTTTAGCCTTTAGACCCCCAAATTTAGGTCCCCATTTTCTAGAAATACTAGGCTTATATGTTAATCTTTTTGGAATATTGCAATTGTTGTGACTTGCAATTGTGATTTCAGCTAAAGAAATTATATTTGAGATGTATATAAAACATGAATTTCATAATAAACATATAAAATATAGAAAGAAACAATTTATTAGGAATGTTGATAATGGAACCACAAAGTCTCTTTAATAATCTTTTTAAAGTTGATTACTTGTTAAATATAGTAGACCATTTTTTAAAAAAAAAATTAAACCAGATACTATATTGAATACCAAATACCAAAATTTTCAATTTCAGTATGATAATTCGGTATTTATCAAATTATGCACAACCCTACATTAGATTCAATTTTTTAACATTACATTAAAATTGTAGAATTTTGATTACTGTCGTCTCTGCAATGATTCCCAATTATTATCATAGTTCTTTTAGCAATCAAATACTCTGTCGAACTAAAAAGAATTTTAGTAAACTTTTCATAGAAAAAAATTGGAGAAGAAAGGTCTGGTGTGCATAATGATAGGAGGAAAAAACCGGAGAGGAAAGAGGTGGGGTCTATATTAAGTTTAAGAAAAAAAGGATAAACTTAATTCTAAAGAGTTTCACGCGCTCCAATTACACTAGTAACACACAAATTTTACCATGTCAACATAAGGGATTTAAGATACATATTTCTACTTAGAAGACAGTGTCTATTTGGTTATTAGCATTTTTTAGGTTTTTAGCTGGCCGTTGAGGATAATTTAAAGGGCCATTTATGTATTTCGCGAATATAAAATAAAGATTACACCGATTGCATGTATATGGTACATTTTCCAAGGAGAACAAAATGCCACTAATATACAAAAACATATAACAATAGAAATCATTAATCAAGGAAACAAAGTTGTTGGATGTTCCAAAACACCTTCATATATGCAGGGAGACTGACTGATATCTCAGGCTGTGTCACTGAGATGATTTGTTTTGGAGATGAGAAATTTGAGACTGTGTTGGTGACTTTGGTCCCAAAAGTCTAATGCTGTGTCCATACAATGATGCTATCGATGCTTCTTCTTTCGTAGTATTCAACAATGACCTTAACTATATACATCGATAATGTCAATCTTTTACTTGAAATGTAATTGCAGGTTACTACATAAAACAATTGAACTACTAACCTAAACAATAACACAAGCTGCAACCTTATGCACTAGGTTAAATTGCAATGGGGTGTACAAATTTGATTGCACTATCAGTAAATAAAAGTTAAAGTCCTACAGTTTCATCGTATACAAGACTGCAAGTTTGCCGTTTTGAAAAAGTTGGGTTTTCATGCGCATAATTTGTTAATCTAATTTAATAATGTTATCCGTCAAAATAACCTATATGATCAATTTAGCACAGAGGGAATGTAATACAAAAATCTTGGATAAATGCACTTGTAATTAGCGGAAAGGAGAAAACACATGAAATCATGAAGTTGACTGATCTTAACATTTTCAAATAAGGAAACGGAGCTGTTGTGAAGAAAAAGGGACAATCTTATAGACACTTTACACAAGGATAATTTATTAAATTTTGGTTTAAGGTATATTAGAAAACATATAAAAATTGTGGTTTATGGTACAAAAAAAAAGATATGTAAAAATGGTGGCCATTTTGGTAATCAGAAAATTAGTGGTTGATGCTATAGACCACACAAGTATGCATCAAACAAAAATGTATAAGGAAACAACAAGACAATCTGGTGGTTTCCGATATATACAAAAGTTTAAGTGGTTGTTCTTGTATATACAAGAGTTTAAGAAAAGAGTCAGACCACATTTTTGTTTATGCAAATTAAAAACACATAGTGAAAAATCTATATTTTGGGCGTAAGTGCGTGTATACAAACAATTAATACTAACCAACATTCTTTCGAGACCATAAGTCACCAACAAAGTATCATCTTCTGCTTCTTCTTCAATTTCCCCTTAGTATATCCAGTGTAGCAAATTTGACTCCTTTTATAGATTACTTGTACCATGTCAAAAACGTACATTGTATTACAACAATAGTAGCAAGTACATTGATTGTACTACAAGTAGTAAAATCTTCTCCGTTTTATCAAAGTCCCAAGTTTCTTTGGTACATTATTGTACTATAGTACAGTTCTTGTACTGCTAATATTATCCACTTCTCATAAACAATTGCAAACTTGATATCCTGGACCTGGAGCATTGAGTACTACTGAGTGTACTATCCACTTTTGAGTAGTACCAGATTGGTTGGAGTACTAACAAATTGAGAAGATGCTTAACATGATTTTGGTATTAGTATTACTTTAATCTAGACTAATCAGATAAGTTCAATCTCTAATTTATTCAAACTTGGAGTTGGTGGGCTTTGCCTCTTATCCCATCATCACTTTATCCCATCATCACTTTATTTATCCTTTAATTACTGTTCTGGATCTTAGTTAATTCATTAACTGCCTACTCACCAAAATATGTTGCTTTCAACCAAAATATTAGGCAAAATCCAAAAATTCCTTTTCTTCTATTTTTTGTGTAATTCGAGTCACGGTGTAAAAGCTTGCTCACTATTCGTACCTCAGCGTCAACAAGAATATCAAATTGAAATGGTGATTCTTGAGACAGGAAAAGATTAACCAAGTTTATTTGTAGGCTAAATTTTGGGTGGTTATCCAAGTATTTGTCTATTACAACAAATCAACTATTATTTTTGGTCATGTTGTATACGGGCAAAACCGGTCTCGTGATACACTCCGGTCTGCGGCAAAATAAGCCAAGCTCGAGATGTGATAGTAGGGTGCCGAGACCGAGGTAGAGGTCTGATGAATTTGGAGTCCGGACCATAACACCCACCCTCGAGGATATCGGGGTCGTGATTCGAGATCAGTCATAGCCTTGATTAACTTCGAAGAACGTTGTGAGATAGTCAAGCTCGGCCAAGAGAAGGCCGTGATATCCGTGACCGACCGAATATCACGGGGAGATCTCGGCATATATCGACAAGAAATCGGCAATCAGTTAATTAGGAGATTTTTACCTTTTATAGAGTTGTACCTAATGTAGGACTCCCCTACTATATAAAGAGGGTCTAATTACTTGTAAAGCACATCGTAACACGCATTTCAAAGCAATATATTATAATTTTCTCTATCATTAGCTCTTTCTCTTGTTCATCTGTGTTGGCCGTGGTGAGCCGGGACCGAGGTCGAATGTTTCACTAAGACTACAACTGTATCACTCGTGTGGTTTGAATTATTTCTGTCTTTATCTATTTACCATTTACTTCATTAATTGCTTTGTGTCGAATTATACCACGTATCCTTAAAACTACATACAAATTTAATTATTACCCGATTTTAAGGGTAAATAGTTTGGCGTGCACCATGGGGCTTAGGATAATAGCGGCTATTTGACATAAACTTCTACAACAGACTCTATTTTACACTTGTTCTTTGGAGTATCTTCGATTTCAGGTTAATGTTTGAAATGTAGAATTCCCAGGCTGCCCCTCTAAACGTGGATGCTGAATCCAGCCACCATGGCGAGAATAACAATGTGGCACCCGTCAATGAGGTGCCCCCGGTCGACCCCAACGGAGTTCCAATTGTAGACCCAATCGACGCTAGTTCTCATGTGGCCATTAATGCAAATTTGCCCACCAATCCTGAGAACAGCATCCGCGGAGAAGTCCGACCGGTTGCACAAACACGCACGGCGGTGAAGATGATGGGATCAACTTGCGAGTGATCTTCGAAATGCTACAGGCTCAACAGGCAGCGATATCGTAGCTCAAGAACCAAAGCCGCGCCCCAAGTAGAATCGAGCCCGAGCCATCCCAAGAAGTCACCCATAGAAATGAACCGGTCGCGGAGAGGCCGAATCAAAGTGAATCGAGGGCCAATCCTGAGATCATAAAAATGTTACAGGAATTGATGAAACGAGTAGAATCAGGAGAGAAGAAAATCGAAGCCAACGACAAGAAAGTGGAGACCTACAACTCCAGGGTCGATCAAATACAGGGAGCACCACCAATATTAAAAGGCCTGGATTCCAAGAAGTTTGTTCAAAAACCCTTCTCCTGAAGCGCATCTCTGAAGCCTATCCCTAAGAAGTTCCGCATACCCGAGATCCCTAAGTACAACAGAACGATCGATCCAAATGAACATATGACCTCCTACACATGCGCCATCGAAGGGAATGACTTGGAAGATGCGAGATCGAGTCTGTCCTGTTGAAAAAGTTCGGGGAAGCTTTGTCGAAGGGAGCTATGGTATGGTATCATAACCTACCCCCTAATTCAATTGACTCATTTTCTATGCTTGCAGATTGCTTCGTGAAAGCACATGCCGGAGCTATCAAGGCCGAGATTAATAAGTCAGACATCTTCAAAGTAAAACAGAGGGATAATGAAATGCTTAGAGAGTTGTGTCCTGATTTTAAATGGAAAGAATGGACTTACCCCCTGTTGCGGACGATTGGGCCGTTCAAGCTTTCATCAAGGGACTCAATGTTCGAAGATCGGTAGCTTCACAGTAGTTGAAACAAAATCTGATAGAATATCCAGCTGTTACTTGGGCCGACGTACATAACCGATATCAGTCAAAAATCAGGGTAGAAGATGACCAACTTAGGGCCCTTCCAGGTCCGTTTATCTTGTCGAGCCGCCGATAGAGTCAAGAGAGACGTTGATCGTTAACTGAGATCTAGCAGAGATCGTTACATACCATACAACGGGGACCTAAGAGGTAACGGATCTGGGCGGAACCCCATAAGAAGTGAAAAAAAGAGCGATCGAGGTCAGAACAACAGGGGACTCATGAGCAAAAACGGTTTGACAGGCCCATCGGATCCAAAGAAGCGCCAAGGCTTTCGGAGTACAACTTTAATGTCGATGCCGCCACCATCGTATCTGCCATCGGGCGTATCAAAGACACCAAATGGCCTCGACCCTTGCAGTCCTATCCATCCCAAAAAGACCCTACTCTGATGTGCAAATATCATGGCACTCATGGCCACAGAATAGAAGATTGCAAACAATTGAGAGAGGAAGTAGCCCGACTATTCAATAATGGACATCTCCGAGAATTCTTGAGCGATCGAGCTAAGAATCATTTTAGGAATAGAGATGCTAATAAACAGATCGAGCGGGAAGAACCACAACACATCATCAACATGATCATCGGTGAATCCACCAGGGGCCGATGCTGAAACGCACCAAAGTATCCATCACAAGGGAGAAGCAGACTCGAGATTATATGCTAGAGGGAACCTTGTCTTTCAACGACGAAGATGCCGAAGGGATCCTGCAACCCCACAATGATGCGCTGGTAATATCTGTAGTCATAAATAAATCATGAGTTAAGCGGGTGTTAATTGATCCAGGTAGCTCGGCCAACATCATCAGATCGAGGGTCGTAGAGCAGCTCAGTCTACAAGATCAGATCGTACCTTCAGTCCGAGTTCTAAATGGATTCAACCTCTTAAACGGGAATCAGGTCAGACGTAGTTCAAATACATCATGTAGGAAAACATAAGATTACACATAGTAGCGCTTGACTGCATCTGAATTGATTGGTTTTGGCCAGACTTCTCCGTCTATTTCTGCAAGTATATGGGCTCCTCCTGTCAGAACCCGATGAACTATGTATGGACCTTGCCAGTTGGGAGAGAATTTCCCCTTGGCTTCATCTTGATGCGGGAAGATTTTCTTTAATACCAGCTGCCCTGGTGTGAACTGTCTCGGCTTGACTCTTTTGTTGAAGGCTCTGGACATCCTGTTCTGGTAAAGCTGACCGTGGCAAACTGCATTCATTCTTTTTCCATCTATGAGAGCTAACTGCTCGTAACGACTCTTCACCCATTCTGCATCGTCGAGCTCAACTTCCTGTATGATTCTTAAGGAAGGAATTTCTACTTCGGCTGGAATGACGGCTCCTGTACCATTAACCAACATATAGGGGGTTGCCCCAGTTGGTGTGCGGACTGTGGTGCAATACCCCAATAAAGCAAATGATAGCTTCTCATGCCACTACTTATGCTTCTCTACCATTTTTCTCAGTATCTTCTTAATGTTCTTGTTGGTGGCTTCTACAGCTCCGTTCATTTGAGGCCTGTAGGCTCATGGCATGTGAAACCATTAAGGGGGAGATAATATTACTGGTGAATGCCACCTAGATCATCCAGGAAGCCAAGTTTTATGTGGTCGAAGGAGACATGAGGTACAACGCTCTATTCGGGAGGCCATGGATCCACAACATGAGGAAGTGCCCTCGACTCTGCACCAAGTGTTAAAAATTCCCAACACTAGGAGGGATTAAAACAATATACGGAGAATAGCCAGCCGCAAAGGAACTATTTGCGGTCAAATAGGTGATTTCGATATCCGCACTTGCAACGATAAAGGGATCGAGTTTGGTCACAAAGCAAGAAGCAAAATAGCAATTACCAACACCAGCCCCGACCCAATCGGAGAAGTAGGGGATTGATGAAGACGACGATTACGGAGTTCCCAGGTCTTTTATAGCCCCTGATGATTCCGACGCCACTAGATCAGCGATCGAGGAGCTGGAACAGGTCATATTGATCGAGCATCTGCCTGATTGAAAGGCATACCTAGGCACGGGGTTATGTCTCGAACTCAGGAAAAAAACTTATTCAATTTCTTATAGCTAACATAGATTGTTTTGCTTTGTCCCACCTTAATATGATAGGGATCCCTCCAGAAATAACCACATACAAGCTGAGCCTGGACCCAAAGTGTCGCCCGGTCAAACAGAAAAAGAGACCTCAATTCGAAGTCAAACATGCGTTCATCAAAGATGAGGTATCTAAACTCCTTAAAATAGGGTTCATCCGGAAGGTTAAATACCCGGATTGGTTAGCAAACGTAGTGTCATCCCCAAGAAGGGGAATAAATTAAGAATGTGTGCGGACTATAAGGATCTGAATAATGCATGCCCCAAGGACTCTCTCCCTCTGCTCAACATCGA